AAGAATAAATAAATAAATAAATGAAACATTCTGTACATCTGACGTCTATTGTAAGTAACTTATAACAATTTTAATGGAAATATATATGTATTAGCTTCCTTTCAGCAAAATATCAAAACAATTCCACCGTACATTTTTTTTTTAAACATATGGTTTGACCCTGTATACCAGTTGTATGAAAGTAAATAAAGAATTCTAGTTAGTTCTAGAAAAAATAATTCACTAATTTTTGTGCTAATATTGACAAAAACATGCATTTTATGATAATCTGAAATTATGAAATAGTGATTTTGGACACCCCGTAAATCAAAAACTGTTAAACTTAAGAGATATTTGATCCATAGGTCAAGTTTTACAACATATCAAAATTTCCTCAAATTCTGACCGAAGGGTTTTTTACATTTAAAACGTGCCCCCTCCTTTATCAAGTAACGCTCTATCAAGGTCGTTGGCAACTTTTACATTCCTATTTGGTGTTTTGCTAAAGAAATAAAAATTCTTTATTTAAACTAAATGGCAACTGATTTCGGTCCTACGTCCATCATCGGTTCTAAAAGCGAAGTACATTGAGTTGTTAAAAATGTTCACATTTTATTACCCTAGGTATGTGTGTCACGAGTTATTGAGCTCAACCTAAGTTCTACTTGAGCAAAATCCAGTCAATCTGCATACAGAGATCAATATCTGAGTATCACACGTTCAGGTAACCAATTTCTAGCCCCCCCCCCCCCCCCAAAATACAATTCGTCTGGTTTTTTTTCCATCCCGAGGGTAAACCCTAAACCTAGTTGGTATGCCGGGTATTTGTGAAGCCCCGGTGATCATTCCCCTTAAAGACTATCATAGCCTTTAGCCAGTTTGTCAGAGCAGTTTTGAAAATGCGCGCATTAGTGATTCGGAGACGTTTAATTAATAAAAAGAAAAATACTTAATGGTTATGAATGACAAAACCGATGGTTAACTTAGTAGCTTTGATCAAACATTGAACATAATTTATTATATAGAAAATAAAATTATTTACAGAAAATCTTTGTTTGTGTCGTGAAAATATCAAAAAAAAATTATGGCTTGTAATGAATTATAATGGACTTTCGTCCGAGTTACATGACGATACTTTAAATTTTAAAATTTAAAAATGACGTCACATAACTTTGAAAACATTAATTAAAAAGGAAAAGAAAACAAAAGTTTTAAGCACAATATTAATTTTTTTCTAGGGCGACTACTGTCGGTCAAATGACCATCAGCAGGTGTGTGAGAAAAGAATAAAATGTAAGAGAGAAGAAACGTTTATTTAAAATAATTTGATAAGATATACATAATTTATCGGGGAACAATAGATATTTAAGAGTCTAATGAAACTGAAAGTTAATAAAATATCAAAAATGATATAATATAGCCATCGGTAATAATAAAATAATATAAATGTAAAAATCGGCAAAGTATTTTACCCACTCATTTTCAACATAACCTAACCTACCCACAGCTTCCCACGATATAGAAATTGTAAAAACAGGAAACTCCCAAACACATTTTAACAATTTAAAATTAAAAACACCTAACTAAAAACCCTTTTTCATCTTCCTCTCTTCACCAATCTTCCTCTTGATCCCCTCGAACTCTTACCTCGTGTCCGCCCGGTGTTCTTCGTCACGTTCACCGTTATTGAACGATAGTGGTTGGCTGCTTTTAAAATGGTCCGTTTACACAAACCAAAAGAACGCTTTTTATAATTTAAATTTAAGGGGACCTTTTTTGATCAAATACACGGAAAAAAATGTGACTAGAAAAATTTGTTGTAGTAGTAGACTTGTAGAAAAATACTTAACAATTTGTAGAAAATTTTACTACAATTTATAGTTAAAAACTATTAATTATTGTAGCAATTGAATTGTCGAATAAAATGCTACAACAATAGGAAAGAAGTCCACAATGTTTAGTATATTTTACTATTGTTTGTAGAAGTAGAAATTTATTACAATTATCGTAATTACTACTACTAACTTCTGTAAAAATTTGTACAAATATTAATAATTATCTCTACAAAAAATAGTAATTTTCTCTACAAAAAATAGTAATACTTTACATCCCTTCTTATAATAAACATTCAATTTTGTTAAAAAATATTCTACAATATTGTAGAAATTCTTAGTCATGTGAACAAAACAAAATTCTGCTATTGGCCAACGTTTTCTGACGTCGATCATAAACGGCCAGACAGCAGTAGCCGTTCGCCATGTTCACATAACAAAGCATGGTACATATACGAGTACCTATAACACATTATTATATTATAAGCACCGATGCGTTTGAGAAAATTTTAATAATAAATTCTATTGGTGGTAAGTACATTTAATATTGTTTCTGAATAATTTACCTTTAGATAACTAATTTAAATAACCTTAGTAGATTAGATTAAAAAAATAGTTGTGGCCAACGATCGAATGTTGTGCCCAACGATCGAATTTTGTGCCAAATTCAAGGATATTTTTTTGTCTTAATTGTGACATACCTACTTTTTCATTTTTGTTAGTTATCTGACTTAGTCATTTAATATCCAAATCAGTGTAAAGGTGATAAATATCCCCGTTTTAAGGGTATGAACAGTTCAATTGGTATTAATTTTTATTTCATATTTTTCAGGTTCAGAAAAGCCAACTGAGACTGAGGGCGCTATTATTACTGTTATTTATTATATAATGTAATTAAGAATTTGTATCTTTTATATTAAAACAATAAATTGAATATTTTATCAAGGAACATTTTTTTCTAGGTTATAATTATAATAATTATGGAATACTACTACAAATTTTATTAAAAATTACTACAATTTGTATTAATTTTTACTATTTATTGTGTAAAATTTTCGTATTTATTTTCATAAAACGCAATACATTTTTAATATAAATTCATACAATGAATAGCAAAAATTATAACAATTTGTGGAACAATTCTTATGATGCATTTGGATATTTTTACTAAATATTGTAGATAATAACTCTACAATACATTCTCCACAAATATTTGGAAATTTTTACTACAAATTGTCCCTGTCCCTATATGTACTATTTATTGTAGAGAAAAAATCTACAATTGTAGAAATTTGTTTTACAATTTTTTTTCCGTGTACGATTCCTTTCAACCCCATTTTGAGTAATTAAAAACTTATTTATTAATATTTATTTATTTATTTGCAATTGCTATTAGTATTACTTTGTAGTTTGTATTATTTCTTAAATAAATATTAATATTATAAAAATTTTACATAAAAATTATGTTTATATTATATTTTCTAAAAAAAAAAAATTAAAAAAAATGTCATTAAAATATGACAAAATTTCATCATTAGGAATTGCTCATGTGGCTCACCCTGTATCAAAATGTAAAATAATAAGTTAAATAATATTCCTTGCCTCTGTGCCAATTTTGACAACGATTTATGAACATGTGAAATTATTACCTACCAAAAAACGACATGTTTGATCCCAATAATTATTACTCACCCTGTAGCTATCGTAAATAAGAGACAACGCCAATGGGGTACCCGAGGGGGAAACCACTAAGGTCAAAACGTACCCGTTTTCGGAAAGTACCTAAATTTTTTTATATGATTTCGGTGAAAAATTCCCCTTAATTTTATATTATGACCTTTTTTTTGAGGCTCTGCCCTTTGTCATTTGATCCACAAGCTGCTCTATTTACATTTTTGAGCAAATAATTGATTTCAAAGTGATTTCAGCGATGATTTCGACCATGATTTTCGATGATGATTTCGGAAATTTGAGAAAATGTTTAGTGATTTCAAGTGAAAACATACTCAGTATGTATTTCGGAAGTGATTCAGTCCTCGGGGGGTACCTAATGCGGATAATGTGTTTATTTGGATTAGTAAATATGTTGGAGTTGGATGAGTAAACAATTTTCGCCATAACTTGCCCGCCTCCATCTGTCACAACACGGGTATAATACGCTGAACCTTCCACCATATATGCCTTCGGTAATACAGCCGTTTCAATTCAAAAACGAATATTAACATTTTTTGCTGTCTGCTTGAACTGTAGGAGGTCCCATAATGGGATATGAACATGGAGAATGAGAAAAAAAATATATATATAAATCATAAAAGTTTGGTAGTGAGGTGGTCTTTTCTTTTGGAAACGCTATAATATTAAATCAAATAAAAGATTAGAAAGATTAACAAATTTAAAAATATTAAAAGTTTATGAATTTAATAGCGATTGTTTTTATTCAAAAAAACAACTGTAATTGCTTTCTTTTATTAAATATATTTATCCATATCCACAGTTTATTCAACGTTATCTGTAATTGTAACGTGTGAAGGGTGAGTTGCCCCCCCCCACATCACTTAGGCCTCACTATGTCCATTGTGCATCCTCCTAAATTGATAGCTCGTCAGCCAACCTACAGGTTTGATATAGTTAAACGTCGCTGAGAGATGACTTTCTTATATCAGCCAGTGTAAGCCAATACTCGTTGAACACAGTCTTCTAATAAATCAGAGTGTCAGGCAATCCTAGAGGCTTTGCTCGATAGTCTCACGTTCTTGTTCGCACCACCTGCCTATGGAGCTGCTTGACAATATCCAGTGTCAAAATGCCTAGGATCAGGCGCAGATTCTGTCTAAATATGAAAATTGTTATCTATAGCATAGTAATATCTAATTAGTTCATTTTTGAGTCCATATGACAGTCATGGCATAACATTCAACTGCATTTATTGCCCAGTTATTATTGTTATATCATTCGACAACTAGCTCTAAATTTGTTGCAAGACGTTATATACCAACCACTTATTTAAAGAGAGGTTAAAGCACGAGCGTTATATGATAGATAACGCTGGTTTGATTTTTGCCGGAGCATATGGATTTTTTTTTATTTTTCTTTGGTTTTTGGAGATTTAGAATGTATAAATTTAAATAATTTGATTTTCTTAAAAACTATTTATCGCTTTTTTGTTGCAGATTGCACATTCGTTACATAATGCCATCGGCTCGACTGACCCTCCGCGAGGAGGATGTCGTCCGATTGGCCTTGGAGTTCTTGTACAATCGTGAATTACACATTTCCCAGCTGAGTTTGGAACGCGAAACTGGCGTTATCAATGGCAATTATTCTGACGACGTCCTCTTCCTTCGGCAGCTCATCCTAGATGGCCAATGGGACGACGTTCTTGAGTTCATCCAGCCACTGGAGGCTCTCAAGACCTTCAACATGAAGCGGTTTTGCTATACGATATTGAAGCACAAGTATATCGAATTGTTATGCATCAAATCGGAAGCTAATATCCAAGGTAAGTTAGTTTTCTTTCCTAATAAAGTTATCTGCCAGCAAGTACTATTTACAGTAGTTACATTGACAATATAGGTTAATTAGTGAGAGTAAGTCGTATATTTTTCTAAAAATCAAACCTATGCAGCGGTAATAAAATATTTAAAGAAAAATGCATAACGCCTACTTCAATTCATCAAAATATGATTATCAAAGTTAGTGAGTATAGGTTTGTTCGGGTTTGATACAGATCATCTGAGGTCCAGTTGAACAGCTGAATAGCAAATTATTTGTTGTGTACAACTTTTAAATTGTTCACTGGTCAACTAGTCCTGATAGTTCTCAACGTATTTTTGAAAAACCCGAACAAGCCTTGCTGTAACATATATGAAGACATAATACAGATTTGATGTCAATATAGCAATGAGAATAAAAAAATGTAAAATATAAACATTTATCAAAAGCCTTTGATACTGTCAGTCATCATCTACTCTTGCAGTATTTGAAAGTTATTGAAATTAGAGGTATTTCTTTGTAATTATATAAAAGTTATTGTGGAATACTACTAAAAATAAATTTAGCAGTATTCTTAATTGTAGGCTTTAAATTACTATATTTTAGATTATAAGTAGTTACTTTTTAATCAGATAATTCGCTGGTTGAATATGTAATCCAAAATCGTATAATAAAAATTTTCTACAAAAAACCAGCATTATATCCTACCTCTCTTTTATATAATAAAAAAGTGCTTTGTTATATTATCTGTCTTGCTGTACCTTTATTTATGGAAAGCCTGAATTGAGATATACTACAAATTATTTGCAATAAATATCAAAAGAAGTATACATTTTTAAATAATTTGACACATCACAGTTGACATCTTGATACTTGACAGGCACAGCCAAGCATTATTCTGATTTTTGCCAAATAAAATGGCCGGTTAATTATTCTATGGGGTTGCGACAGAAAGCCAGTAAATAAAGGTGTTTTTGTGGCTAGGAGCGAAATAGTACGCTTAAGTTAGCACCACCACAAAAAAGTAATTTTTAAGAAACGGCTTATATATTTTTCATAAATTGGTAGGTTTGGCGACTAATTTCGAACAAAAATAGCCTCCAAAAGAGTTGCAAGTATGAAGGTCGCAACCCGCCTTAGACATTTCACCTTTACTATCAACAGCTGTTGTTTGACAGGTCGTTAGAGAATGTTTGCAATTTATGGAATGTTAAGAATGTTAGGAATTTTGACATTAGAAATAATTGGAATTCCTAAAATTGTCACATTATAAATCCATAGGCCGATTTTAAGAAAATTGATATTAAAGTAGTTAGGATGAACCGAAAATTCTGAAAATCAATAGGGTTCTAAGTTAGAAGTAATTATTCAAGAAAGAGTTATCGTGCGGGCATACATACACACAGACGACCAGACGATTTTTTTTTGCATTTTCGGACTAAGAATGATCGGAAACATGAAAAAAAGTTTTAAAAAATGGGGATAAGAAAATTTTTTCGTCTGCACGAATGCAATACTGAGGCCCCATAGGAAGGGCCTCAGTAATATGGTCACTACGGAAGATGCTATTATAGCACTATCTACCAAAATTCTAACTGCTCTAGATGAAAGCAGTCCATGTCTCTGTGTATATCTAGACTTCTCGAAAGCATTTGATACTGTCAGCCACCGTTTACTTTTGGATTCCTTAGAAGAAGCAGGTATAAGGGACACATCACTCAAATTATTTGAAAGTTACACTACAAACCGACAACAAGTTACAGTGATCTAGGATCCATAACTTACGGTATCCGACAAGGTACGGTACTCGGTTCTATTCTATTTAATCTTTACCTGCTAACTCATGGCTGGAACTAAAGCAAAAAGTTGAACAGGATATTCCAAATCTGAAAAGCTGGTTTGACAGTACCTAAGTTACTGACACTAAATGTAGATAAAACCCACTACTTACCATTCAGTAATAATATTATAACAAGACCTCTATTTAACAAATTAACTTTTACTGTTTCTGGCAAATACTTATCATTCTCCCTGAAAACAAGATAAAATATCTAGTGGTTTACGTGGATTCATATCTCAATTGGAGAGAAAATATAACTTATATGCCAAAAATTTAGAATGATAGTATTAGTATATTACACACCGAGGTGGGAAGAGTTTAATTCCTGTCGTGAGATTAGTTAGATCACCGAGACGCGAAGCGTCGAGGTTAGCTATGATCTTGAGACAGGAATGAAACTTCCTACCGAGGTTTGTATACTATTTTATTTGCAACCATCACATTTCGATCAGAGTTAATAAATCTTTGTTTCGTTCTGAACATACCTAAAATATTACATTTAACGACAAATTACCAAGCGCGCGGGTTTCTCAGAATAACCGAGTAGGTAAATATATTGTTACTGTGATTACGGGGTAAACAACTGTCACCAATATAAATAAATGTCAGATAAAGCCGGATATTAAATTCGCGAATAATAAATATCAATAAGTAGTTTGTTGTATTTTAGTTCATTGTTTTTTATTGTTTGCCATTAAATAGGTATTATAAAATTTGTCAAAAAAATGTGTTATTTTTTTTAAATATAAAAAATATTCATCTAGAATAGATAAAATGAGGGCGGGAAGTGAGGGCGGGAAGTAGAGGTGTGTAATGTGACACTTCCCAACCTTCAATGAAGTTAGTAATGACAACATTACATATATGGTTGTAAATAAATAAATTTAAAAATATAAGAGATTATCTACAGCCACATCAACTTAAAATCTTGTATCATAGCTTAGTAGAAAGTCATTTGAGATATGCCATCATTGTGTGGGGTTGTACACAAACACATTTACAACCCCTTGAAGTTCCCCAAAAAACATTTTTAAAAATAATTTTCAGAAGGCCCTACAGGTATCCTTTAAACTCATTGTTGAGGCAAATGTTATGGATTTAAAACAAATTTTTTATTATAATAATATTAAATAGCATTCAAATAAACAACTATTTAACTTAGATCATCTATATAGCAAAAGGAAAAAACATCTCCATACTGTACCTCGTACTCAGAAATCAATAGGACAACGATCGTATTTGTATCTAGGTCGAAAATTATATAATTCCCTCCCAGTCGACATTAAATGTAATATCTTGTCCATATTTAAAAATAATTTAAAAAAAATTATCAAATATGAGAAAATGGACGTAATAAATAATATTCTTTCAAATAACTGATATTTATTTGCGTTTTGTATGATCAACGTTTCGATATCTTTTTAATTAAGATTGTGTTTGTCTCCTATATAAAATATCTAAAAATATATATTTTTTTTCTGTAATGCATGAATTTTATTTTATATATGGGTCATTCTCAGTTGAGACGTAAATCGCTTATTGATAAAACGCGGCACGAAAAAAATGTTGAAATTGAAATCAAATTTTACAATGGTTCGATCAAAACAATCATTTCAAACGTGCCTGCAAGACGGTCAGTCAATTTATTGATTTTATCTCGTTTTATAAGATGCCAGGGGAGATACTCATCCAGGGGAGAGACTTAATGTACATAGTAGAATACTTTGTGATTAGAGAAAGGATTTTAACATTATTTTATGAAAGAAAACAACATTTTATTGAAGTATTAACTTTATTCAGTCATTTTATAATTTTATTTATCAATAATTAATTGATAATAATTAGTCTTTAAAGTTTTCATATCTCCCCTGGATATCGTGTCTTTCCCCTGGCCCTTACAAGACAGGGGAGATATAAACAGGGGAGATACTTTTTAGTAACAAAAATAGAAATAATGACAAATGTATTTATTGTATGAAATTAACCAAGAAAAGTTAGAATCTATACACAACGAGAAGTAAATATACGAATGAATTAAAATTTTTAGATGAATATTTTAAAAATAAAACTTACCAGGGGAGAGACTCCGTTCACTCGTTGTCAACTGTATGCACAGAGTGCCAGTAACGAAATAAATGACTAAATGACTGCGCACCTAGTTCGAGTGGCTCTGATTACAAACTATACACTCAACAACGTTCGCTCAAGGTCTTCAATTCCCGCAAGTCAGTAAACAAATGCCGATTTTACACAAAAATAAGCGTGCCAGGGGACGAGACGCAAAATACGGGGGACAAAAGTAAACGTAATTTTTTTTTAAGAAAAAAAAAATCACGCAATTTTACTTGCTTGATTACGATAATTTATTTAAATTATTTTGTTGAAATGTATAATTTAAATAAGTTATTTGATTTTCAAGTACTTAAAATTACAAATAAATAAACAGAATCGGCCAGGGGAGAGATGTTTTCCGACTTTGAGGTGAAATTGTGACTAAATTAAATAAAATTAAGAAATGAATTTGAGTGACCAATTATATGAGCACGAGTTTTAAGAGAAAATAACATTCTTTTTAATAAATTTTTTTAAAAAAGGTGATTTTTTGTTATGGACGTCGAATTTACGGCTTAACTGAGAATGACCCATGTATACGTTTATATTTAATTTTTTATATTATTATTATAATAGCAAGCGGTAAGACCACATTATTTAATGTGTACATAAAATGGTCTATTCTCATTAAACGACAATGGAAACAATATCGAGTTTGCAAATGATATTGCTATCTTCTACAAAGCTGACACATTGCCGAGAATTAAAGAAGCAGCAACGGATTAGTGTAATAAAATATTGGTTGTGGAAAAAAACTACTAACACCAAATGTTGATAATAAAGGGTGTATCTTATAGTGGTATCCGAAGTTTTTTTTTTAAATAATTTGACAAACAGTGAATTTTTTGTAATAAATGTTTTTTATTGAAATTGGATCCATTACAATTTATTTTGTCACTTTTTGAAGATGACATCGGCCAAGTGGCCACCTCCGGACGCCACACACAAATCGGCTCCTTTTTCGGCATTTTCCATCACTTTTTGGAGTTGTTGGAAAGTGGCTGGTTTATCGGCATAAACATTTCCCTTCAGGTATCCCCACAGAAAAAAGTCAG